GGGAGCGGAGCCGGGGCGGAGGAGGAGGGGCGAGGCGGCGCGCTTGACGCGGCTCCTGCGGCGCGTGGCCTGATCTGCATGCCCAAACTCCCCTCCCTTCCCCTCGCCGCCCCGCTCGCGCCCACGCCGCCTCCCGCGCCTTCCGCTGCAGGCCGCCCCGCCCACCGCGCGCGCGACGTGAAACCTCGGCAAGCTTCCGCGCGGCGCACGCCCCCGCCCCGCCCATATACACCCCATCCCGGCCATGTGCCCTCTCCCGCCCTCCCCGCCCTCGCCCCGCCCTTCCCCGCCCCGCGACTCGAGTACTATATGAGTGAGTCCGCGTGCTTACGCAACGGCGTCGCGCGTCGCGCGGGGCGGAGAGGGAGGCGGCGGACGCACGCGCAGTGGGCCGTGCACTCGGTAGCCACGGAAATGGACGAGCTTCGCCGCGTCGGACGCCGCTCCCAGGAGCTTCGATCAAAACACAGGGACTGGTGAGGTGAATCAGCTGTTACGGTTTCGATACTAGCATCTCGGCTAGGTCGAATTCAGTCGCTGTCTGGAGGAGAGTTCTAGCGAGCGGCTGCTCTGGTCGGTAGTTTTCCGTCGTTTCTCCGATCAGCACCACGCAAATGCCGGAGTAGTACCCTAACAAACGGGCCACGGACGTAAATTCCGCATTATAAATTGAGGCGCTCAGAATAAAAATGACACAAACTCAAAATATTCGAAAAACAGCTGAACCCGACAGACAAAAACTCAAAATATTCCAAAAACAGCTGAACCTCACCCCGAAGTGGGTGGAACAAAAGTACTTCGCTTTTTCATCAATCTGTTACACACGCCGCAAAAACAAACACTCTAAACGGTTCTCATCACCAAACAAATTACACTTGGCACACAAAAACTGAGATGGGTGCCTAAGGCAACTTATTTAGTCGTCAGTTTTAATCGAATAATGCGCTGGCACTTACATGTCAGGCGAATTCGATTAAAATTTCATCAAAGAGGTCGACTCCTAAAACCTCTTTTGAGGGAAACAACACTCCCTTTAGAACTTCGCTTGGCACTTTATAAAACGTGTTGTCGGTCTGTGACCAACTACGCCGCAGCGACGTGATTGACTACAACAGAACTCGAGCTACTACAGAACAAATTTCTATGGGTCATGGCGCGCCCTCCGTTTCGGAAACGGCAGAAAGTATAGAGGAAGGAACTTGATATTGAGTCTTTCACTCAGTGCTTGAGACGGCTATCACTTAACGAAGCCTTTCAAACCACCGAAGCTCCGGCAAAGCTTAAACAATTAGCTAGACAAGTCCTCCCTATAGGACAAAGAAAACAAGAACTCCCCTCGTATATTTTGAGGGCGTAGCACAACACACACACTAACATAACCAAGTCACAAACGTGACTAAACACAAAAGCCGATTTGGTTATTGCGTAAAGTTTGACGCGAACTCACACCAGCCACTTACACATAGCAGTAAAACGCGAAATGCGTGCGAACTGCAACACAAAAGCATACGAAACTTCCGCTAAGCCCAAAAAGAAACAAAAAAGAAAAGAAAGAAATAACGGCAGATCCCACCCGGAGTTTCTTTTTGAGAAAAATGACTGTTTCCGTTTCGTTCAGTTCACTCTGAACAAATTGGACAAGGTAGACAAGGTGGAAATTGAGGATTTTTCTATACCGCAATTCATTTGATATTTAGCGTAAGACAGAAATATGGCAAGAGTTCACCGCCATGCCTCTAACTGAAAATTTTCTTTGTCCTATTGGAATCTCGCGTTATTATCCTAAGCGTCTCAATTCATGTTGTTAGCACAATGGTAAGGTCAATTTTGAGGTATGGAGCTAAAACCCGAGTTGATACGACGAAAACAAAACAACTATACCGACCAATAGAAATGAACACAATACTATCGACAGGAGTGCCTGTATAAGAAATCAGGACATAAGAAAACAGTCTAAAATAACTGATATTACCAAATTTGCAAAAAGAAGGAAAATAATGTAATAATCACATCGCACGAATGAGCGGTGATAGACTGGTGAAGATAGTCTGGATTATATCATTAGGAAGGAGAAATCCTAGTAGCCGCAGAAAAGATGGAGAGATGTGCAGTCACCATCTACTGAATCCCCGAGATGAAGCGTGAACGCGCAGAAGCAGAATAAGAAATTAGGGTGCCGACTGGCAGATAGCAGTAGTTGTGCTTTACTCCGATTTCAACAGAGTGGCACTTCAAAGTCACGAGCTGGAAGATGTGTTTAGTCATCAAATCGGAAGCTCCAATACCAAAACATTATGTCGTGACCTTGAAGTGTCACTGTGTTTAAGTCGGAGTTTAGTTCTGAGTCACGTGACCGTTGAGCCGGCGGCGGGGGTTCACCGGTTCGAACCGCCCGATCGTAATTAGAACGTTATTGATACGTTTCGTCACCACGAGGGTCGAGTATTGCGTTCTGAGACGGTGGAACTGCACGTTTCTTTCAATAGAGTGGGGGCGCTAGGTGTACATGAATTACGAGCCAGTTTCGTTTCATCAAGACACGATAAAATCGCTGTAATGAAGCCCATTTTCAGGTGCTCAAATTATTGAAACGATATAGACCTATTTAATGGTATTAAATAATATTATTTTACATTTAAAGAGACTGAAGACAAGCATTTTACTTAGTTTCAGAACAGAATTTCAGATCATTTACTATCCTTGGGAGTATTATACATTGAATAATTATGTGATTTAATATTTTTGGAAAAGATTTCATCGGAAAAATAGCGGAGAAACACTTGCCCGATGGACAAATCTGATCTGAAAATGAAATGAAAATAATAAATTAAATATTTTCTTAATTCCGTATAGTAATCAAGGCAGTTAATATTTAAAGTGAGGGAGTTTCGCCGGAGAAAACTTAGTTTCTGTTCAACAGAATATTGGTAGATTTTTTTAACAACCTATGCATGTAATACGAGTCTTTATGTTGCCTTTTAAATGTTTATCTGTAGAGATCAAATACAATAAATCACCAAAAGATAAAACGAATACAATATACTTTTGAACACATTTGAAGTCCATTTTTTTATACTGAGAAACGATACATGCAATTACATACATACCCCAACACATGCACAGCACACCCACACACACACTTTCACATATGCACTTTCGCAGAAGGTTTACATTTGTCTCTCTCTAGGATAATTATTTCACTGGTAATAGATTACAATTGATTAAATTGTAATTAAATCAGTCATTATTTAATTGATTTATTAAAGTTAACAAGGTGCACGAGGTAGAATAATTAGAAAGATGAAATCAGCTATTTACTTTTATAAGTTTATTTTCTCCTGTTCAGCATGTTTGCCTTTCAGAGATTTTCAGAATTACATGTAATTGACATTAAGGGTTTATTACTCTCACCTAATTGTCCCTGAAAGTAGGCGGAAAAAACTCACAATAAAGACACCTTTTGGACTCAATTAAAAAAGTATTTTTGTAATTAAACAATGAAAGCTATTCAAGAACTCCGTACTCTGACAATCAATTTAGGAAACCAACGGTAGCCACAGAAAAGTTAGCGGCGGCGACTGTTCGGGTAGAAGTTTGAAAGTATGAAATAATGTGTGTTTGTGGAGGTTTGCTCTACATCTACTCGCAAGATCGCCATAGGCGCCCTGAAATGAGGCACCTGGGGTAATTTGCCCCAGGCCCCGACTTTATTATGGCTGTTATTAGGACCCCCCAAAACAAATGTATTTACTTTCAATTCAAATTTACCTTTATATATTATTTCAGCTGCAAAGAGCAATAAGTTCTGTTAGTATATTCGGGGAGAAGGAATTTAGTTTCAAAAAGGGGATCTTCGTGCTCCAGGATCCTTCTTTTCTGCAGATCGGGAACATCATTTTAATATTCTGTGTACGTCCAGTTTCGAGTTATGAAGCATGTCAAAATTTATTTGTGCCCACGATGTTGTCATTTCACAATCTTAATGTTACTGGCATCGTTAATATATGTTTATTATAAAAATATTTTAGTTAAAACATAAAATAGTTCTAATTTCATTTAGAAAAATAAAGTACTTCAAAACATTGAGAAAGAAATGCTTCCCTTTGCCGCCAAAGACCCCCGTAGAAGTATTTTCATGTATGGAAGCTGTCAGTTAGTGAAGACCAATCAATTTATTATGTGAGGCACCTGTGATTTTGTTTTAGTCGAAAGGTTTAAAACAAATTACATGAAACATTACTGAACAAATTGATCTTCTCTTTTCATATTTTTAGAAGCATTTCGACAACATATTTGATTTCACGTTCACGTAAACAAGATATCGAAGAGAAGTGTTCTTATCAATCATATGTAAATGTAATATACAAAATGTATCCTCAAACAATCTCAAACTCCTCCTCCGTGTTTGGCCCACTGTCGGGCGATTGACCGAGCCCGCTTCGGCGAGGGGAAAGAGGGAGGGTCGAATGCAGGGGAAACTAGGAATTGACTCGTTAGCTCACCCGGTCGCACCACAGCCCCGAGCCAACTTGTTTGTCAACACTCCGAAACGTCACCGGGCGGAGCCACCGTGGCATCTCTCGCGTCATCACCGGGGACATCGCGAGGAACAATATTTACCAACATTCTAGTTGACACTGAATAAGAGCGAACAATGGCTTATCTCGGAAAGGAAAACAAAAACCGAGAATATAAAAGTATGACATTAAACTGTAAATACCATCAAAATTCTAACAAACATGATTACATCGTTATCTAATAACGGTTATGATACGTAAGCATTGACAAACAGACAAAAATATTTCTAAATTTCATGAAATAAAATTTTATTTCATAAATTTCCATATCTTTATTAATGAAGTTGATACTTGAAGCTGATAATATTCTTTCAGTTACCGCCTTTGATGATTAATTATTAATATTAACAGTAACAATAGCAATAATAATAATAATAATAATAATAATAATAATAATAATAATAATAATAATAATTCTGGATTTAGTAGCGACTTTCTACGTCAATTGATTCACCTTTTTCTGCTCAACTAGTTAATATTTAATTATCCGTTTCTTAAATTCTCCACTTAGATTCTAAGTTAAAGTCTATTTATATTTAGATTATATTCACATTGTAATATTTATTTTACAAGAGAATGGAATGCTTCTTCCAGAAATTAAGCAATGAAGTGGATCAATTCACAGCTCCCTTTTTTATTTCATTTTGCGCGGTTTTTATGACAACGACATGTATGCTGTAATGCCTTCATAGCCTGCAATGTCATGCCTGCGAAGCAAGATTTTGTCCGCTTCACATCGGCTGAGAGCTATCTCATATCGGCCGGTCTTGACCCAGCTCGTGTAATTGTCCTTTCTGTATTCATTCAAGTATCAGAGTTTAGTAGCTTGTCCACTATGTAGCAAATCTGTAGTATCATATTAAATATTTCGTATCGTAATATACTAAAGTTCGTAATAGGAAATAAATATGATTAGAGAATTATGCTATTATGATCAAAATAGTAAATTTCCTTTGTAAAGATAAAGAAAAGCCCTCGTTGTAGAGTGGCTGCGACCATAATTGTGGTCGTCAAGAGCTTCATTGCAGAGCGAAAAGATTGTGATTCGAATGTAGCGACGGTAAACGGTTTTATCGTAAATTATAACAAAATCGAAAACACATTGGAAAGCTTAAATGAAAATAAAAGATGCGTTTTTTTTGTTGTTTTTTTTTTTGCTAATGGCATCTTTACTGAGTACTCATTTTTGAAACTTCCCATCGAAGCCCCTTCACGAAACTACGAGTGATTCTAGTTAATAAGTATTTATTTCAATATTGTGCTCGCATGTGTTTATTTCGTAGAAGGAAAAATTTTACAGGTATTGTTTCTAATGTTATTCAACGGTGGTATTGAACGGAACCGCTCAAAAGCGAAGCAAACTATTCCGTGACTATGTGATACCACTTGTCATTTTTTCTTTCTCATCCAATTTTTCAAAAATGTCCAAAATAAGCTAATGTTCCAAATATGTCAATGCTTTCTAAATTGGAGAGTTTGTATTTTCATTGTCCTCTTAAATTAGCACTAAACAAAACAGCATTATAATCTGAGACTTAATGCAGATTTACATCCGTACAAGTAATAAGGTCAATATCGTTTTTTTAATATAATTTAAGTAAAGAATATGCAATGTGCAAATACTCAGGAATTATGAACATATTCATCATCACAGAACAAATTTTAAAAACATTTATGTTCTTGATACATCGTTAGTCTTCCTAATTATGGATTTGTACAGTATTTAAATAATCATTTATTCATGCTATTCTATTGATACTCGCATATAGTGCCAATCAATAAACCCTCCACACTCCTGAGATTTCATGTACAGATAATTCGTGGCTGTAGAAATTTACTGGTATACTCATATCCCCTCGAAGCTTAAAACAGAACGAGGTCGCTACGAAAATATCGCCATTTTTTGGTCGATCAAGACTGTCCTCTTTCCCTGAATTCATTGGCGAGCGCCGCTGGAGGTTACTTACATCTCAACCCACTTAGAGACGTAAAAGAAAACTTTTCAAAAAATAAATAAGTGTCAAAAATAAAATTATACTCTTAACAATTTTGTTTTCTTTGATCGCCTCATTACTCTTTTTTTCTATAAATGGATATTTCTTGAAGAGGAAATGTCGAAGGTTGCCAGGGCTCCTTCGAACTAAATTGATGAACAACTTGTGATGAACAACTAGTGTGGATGAATGATTATTGAATGAAGATGATATACCTATGATGATATACTGGTCATGTTGTAGTGTAAAGTGCTTGTATTAATCATTCGAACATGTCAGCCTATTCAGTTACGCAGTGTGTTGCACCGAAGAGAAAATGTGTGGAGAGAACAGAGACAAACGAGTAATTTTATCTTTAAACTTTCGAGATTAAGGATCGCATTGAATGTTAGACACAGAGAGAGTAATTTCAGGTGAAAAATCAGAACCATCTTCTCCCCATTTAAACGAACAAGTATTTCTAATGTCATTTTACTGAGGAGTACTTTGTTTTCGCACAGAAGTTTGACAAATTTGCTTCTATAACGTTCAGAAGGATGTGCTTATAATGAGTCACAGCTGAGAATGAGAATAGTTATAAGTTCTACCGAAGAAAAAGTATATTTTTCATACAAACTAAGAAAACTCAAATTTCTGAATTCTCATCAGTCCTGAAGATGCGATGATATACAGGCTGCGACGATATCGAAAAATTACCAAAGACCCTTGGAAAGTGAATCTATGCTTCTGAGACCAAACACAGCGAAGGAATTATTTATTGTTAATATTTGGAGACAGGTGGTGTGTTTTTATTCACCTGAAATAACTCAACATCTACTTTTCGTGGAATTAGTTTCAAAATAACAAAGGGTATAGTTTTCTAAAATATTCTGAATTGGCTTCAGAATGTTAATTACAAAACTAATCCCGTAAGAGGATCAGACGGAAGGAAGTTTGGAAGTTTAAAATATTGTAAAAACGGTCCTTAAGTAAAACGGTTAATCCTATTACGTAAAATACAAATCTAGTGGTTAATATTTCAATTCGTTCTGATTAGATGAGTCCAGAATCCTTCGACACAAAGACTATCGTTTAGTTGATTAAGCGCTGTTTGCTGTTGGTTTATCTTTGAAGTACATTCACGAGTAGCATAAAAATGTTGTGAATTTTTGTTTCAGGGATCAACAGATCCACGAGTACATGCAGTACGTGTACTCGCCTACACATACTCGCATGTCTTCGTATCTGGTAGGATTGGCGCTCGGATATGTACTGAACAGGCTACGAAACAAGAAGTTCACCATGTCTAGGGTAAGAAACGCAGCAATATTCGTTATTACGGATACAATTTATTTAGAGAAGTGTATTTCACGTCACAAAATAGATAAGATAAACTAAGTCGATTATTTAAATTAAAGTTCATCCATCATCGTAGTCTTAGGACAAAAAACTTGATGAAAACTCTTGAAACTTTAAACGACCAGAGTGATGACGGTTCCTCTGTCGAACACCCTTGCTACAAAAGTAGTGAAGATCTGAAAACGAATATTTTTGAGATGTTACTATGACACTTGCAGAAACAATTTTGACCAATCAGAGGTGTGGTTCTATTGCTTCACAATATGAAAGATTGTGTGGTCACCGGTTGTGGGCGTGTATATGACTGATGAATACACTAAAATGACGTAACTAAAGCAAAGGTTAGTTCTTCGGAGTTAATGGCAGAAATAACTACAACACCATTTAATTCTGGTATTATATCCGTTCTCATTAGTGCAGATAAATTTGTTTGCCCTAGTAATGTTTCATTATTGCCCCAAACGTTTTTTCGAGATTTACGGAAAACCTGCCGTTTTGCGTTGTGTCGCTTTTGCAGCACGTGTGCGATTGAAGTGTTGCTCCGCAGGTGTGGGTGGTGCTGGGGTGGGCGGCGTGCGCCTGCCTGCTGGTGGGCGACGTGTACGGGCCCTACCACATGATGCAGATGGGCCACAAGTACGACCTGACGGAGAACGTGGTGTACGGGGCGCTGCACCGCGTCGTGTGGGCGCTGGCCGTGGCGTGGCTCGTCTTCGCCTGCCACACGGGCTACGGAGGTAATGCGGCCTGCGCTCGCTCTACAATCATCCACAATCCTTCACGATCATCCACCCACGACCTCCCACGACCGACACGCCCCGAACACGCCCCCGACACGCCCCCGACACGCCCCCGACACCGCCCCCGCACGCCCCCGACACGCCCCGACACGCCCCCGACACGCCCCCGACACGCCCCCAGCACGCCCCCGCACGCCCCGACACCCCCGACACCCCCCGACACGCCCCGACACGCCCCCGACACGCCGCCCGACACGCCCCGACACGCCCCCGACACGCCCCCGACACGCCCCCGACACGCCCCCGACACGCCCCGACACGCCCCCGACACGCCCCCGACACGCCCCCGACACGCCCCCGACACGCCCCCGACACCCTCGACAAAGGATTATTCACGATCACCGACCCATTGCATACGATCACACATGCTCTAACACAGGTTAGGCCATATCACAGTGTCTTCTACCATACCGAAGCTCACACTCACCATTGCCTTATGTAGACTTATCTTCGGATCCTCCAAATTGTAGTCAAAATGTTTTCCTGAATGATTGAATATGCACTATATGTTACGTGTGCCTTCGTACAATGAGCATATGTTTAATGCTACTGATGTGTCCTATTCCACGTATTTTCTGTTGTTAATTTGTATGATTAGTACATTTATTGAAGGAATCATCTTAATTAATAGTGAATTTTCTAAGCAAATTCAAGAAGGAAAACATTGTGTAGAACTGTATTATAATAATCTAAAGCATAAGTTGACACATTTGAATTCTTTAATTGAGAGACGTTTACTCGCCAATTATTTAATTCAAAATTTCTTTCTTTTTTTTAATTTAAAAAATCACTGTTACTATTTACATTGAAATAATAATCTAAAATATTGTATGTACACGACGTTTTCTTTAAACACACTTCTATTCCTCTGGTTCGCTTCTTCCAGCAAGTTCACCCAAATTGAAACCCTAGAAATGTGGCGAGGCATGTTGACGCCCCAGTTCTTAACTGCATTACCGAGGCTAATCTGTCACCCAAAACAGACCCAGACGTTGCAATTCCGTTAGCATAAAATAAATATGTGTATTCAATCTCTCATACTGTACTTGTTGTGACGAAAAACATAAGATCATTTTTGATTGTGGCAATTCGTAGATTAAAAATAATAATTCCCAACACATGAAATGCGGAAAAACAGGATAGAAAAACGAATTAAATTTACACTTGGGATACGTTTTCTTTTCAGATTTACAATAATTACTAAAACTTCAGAATAATTAAGCTTTCGAATAATATCTAGTTCAAGCGTAAAATGTCATTAAGAACAGTTATCTCTGAGACTAACAACAGAAGATAATTGATTGATTGGTTGATTGATGTTTCCGGGCAAGACAACTGCCGTTTTCATTAAGTCCCGTTTGTGTAGTGAATGTTTCATCCCGGGAGGTGGAGGAGATTCTTTCCTCACTGGATGGTGAGATTCGGCGCCGACTTCATCGGCTAGTGATGTTTTCCGCAACCAGGTATCTCCCACCAGCGGAGCACCGACCCAGCCGGAACGAGCTCTACGCTCGTGACTGATCTCACTGCAGGTGTAGTTGTAGTGCGTGTGTGTCTATGCAAGGGAAGAGGATAAGGACAAGGAAGTGGAAGGAAAGATCGCGCGCGGTCCATGGTTCCTTTGTTAGTCTATTGCTGCGTCATTCTTCGGGTAATAACGGAAGAATCAACAAACAACCACCGACCACAACAGCAGAATGCTAGATTTCACCTCAAGTCAACCGCAGGATTCGACCTAGCTATGCAGATGATGTCGAAAATCCGTCACTGCGAGGACTCGAAGTTGGGACCTCCCAGCGAGAAGCGCTGCGGAGAAGCGATAGCGCTGCCTCCAAGTTAAACTCAGACGGTGGTCGGTCACCGGGCGATCGCCGCTCGAGCTCGGCGTCTGTCACAAATTTGCTTCATGTTTATTTATTTACTTACTTATTTATTATTTACGTATGTATTTACTTATTTATTTACTTATTTATTTCCGGCAAAAACAGTTAAAAACTGCGTGTGGCGTGCTGTGGGGAGAAGTTAAACTGAAGTTACAGTTATGTCCAGAAGCAAAACAAGGGGGGCCATCTCAGCGTTTGCTGAAAATATATTCCCGCCCGTAAGTCATTTTTGATAAAAACCACTGATTCATATATGAAGAGACAAGGAAATGGTAAAATACCTCGATTAATAAAGAGAGGCTTACAAGAATCACGAGGGTATTACCCAATAGTGAGATTGTGATTCCTGCTGGGCTCCAGATTGCAGATCGTCTGCTCTATGTTTTTTTCTGATTACGTCTAAGCGAATGCCAGAGCAGCACTCTCCAAAGGCTATTCGCTCCACTTCGCTATTACAATTACGGAACTAATGACCTTAGCAGCTGACGTACCCGGAATCATTAAACACTCGTTCCGGGTGAGCGTACGTCCAATACCTTTCTATTCATAACCAGCATATGCAGTCCGGAAAGAAACAACTTCCAAAATTGATTGAATATCTATGACCTGTTAATTTCTCAAATTAAATTATAATATTTTTTTGTTTCTAAGAAAGTAAGATACATCTTAATAATTTGACTTGGGCTAAAAATGAAATTAGCATCTCGTATTCACCTTCCAGCATAGACACTATCTCCTTTTTCTGACATCCGCTTCATCACGATACAAAAACGTAAAATACTCATAAATTTGGACATTCGTCGCCACATAAACCAGACAAGTTGTACTAATAACTGCCGCCTTTCAGGGCTCGTGAACCGCCTGCTCAACTGCTACGTGCTGCGTGGGTTGAGCCGCCTGTCGTACTGCGTGTACCTCACGCACTACATCGTGCTGCTGCTCAACACGACGCGCATCCGCACCGCCATCTGGATGGACGAGTTCCTGCTGGTATGTGGCCGCCCCCGCTCACATGCCCACGACGCGCCAACCCGCCCGCGAACCATCCACAGCCAGCAGCGTCCAAAAACCCAACTCAGCCAAACCATGACTTCTAGGCTGTTCGGGTGACGTCGCGTCGTTGGCAGATAGGCTGACGTTTCACCTGTCATGTCGTAGGCTTCTTCAGGGTAGTGACACGAGTCCTGTCACTACCCTGAAGAAGCCTGCGACATGTCAGGCGAAACGTCGGCCTATCTGCCAACGACGCGGCGTCACCCAGACAGCCTAGAAGTCATGAACTCGAGCCGCGGAAGCCTACGTGCTCAGCCAAACCATATCCACAATTAATGGGCAACTTTGGACTAATTAAATGCTCTATTCCCCAATTGTAGGCTCTTCTGGATTTTCCAAAATTGTGGGCGCTGCTAACTGTAGTCTAAAGCTAGCAGCACCTACCTAGAAAATACATCTCATTATTGCAAGACAATGAAAATGCATCCAAAATTAAAGGCTAATTTTAGGCTAATTAAATGCGTCTGTTAAATATTTATCTTTGTACAGCCCTGATATTTGGAAAATATGGAGTGGAATATTAGTTTTCTAGAGCTTAAAATTAGCATTTAATTTGCATTTTCGTTGTCTTGCAATGATAAGACGTTGTACTCTTATTTTCTAGGTGGGCGCTGCTAGCTTTAGACTACAGCTAGCAGCGCCCACAATTTGGGGAAATCCAAAAATGGCTAAAATTCGAGAATACAGCATTTAATTGGCTTAAAACTAGCCTTGAACTGTGGATATTGTTTCGCTGAAATTGATTCTTGGGTACTGCTGGTTTTAGATGCGACCCCCCACTCACCCCACTGAGCATGGCTTGGGGAAAAGAACAGGGACGCACGCTGTTTTTGTTCGTAATTATATGAGTAAAAACATCTTATTAATGGAGTAAGTGAGTATCTAGAAAACGAGAATACAATACGCGTTTTTGCTAAAGAGTCTCCTCATAAAAAATGATCTCGATACGATGGTGGATTGACGAGGAAGTTGATGAGATTAGAAGTGGAAGAGAACGAGATACTGAATACGACTCAAACATTCAGTTCCCAGATAACATTATTGATCCAGAATGTTAAACACGATATAGATCCAAATCACACAACGTTTAAAATTGAGCACTATCAAACTTCTTTAAAATGAAAGGATAAATAATAAATTGTAATTTATTTATCTTCGCTAAATTAAGAAATCATATTTGAAAATGAAACGAGAAAGTCAAATATTACTACTAAGATACCTTTTCGTTGATTGTACTGAAGAAAACAGATATTAGTCTAATTTACACAAATGCGACTTGTATCTTAGTCAACCTATCTTAATAGATCCTTCTAGAAATTTATAACAAAAATCAATCAACTGTAACTGATTTAACTTTAACTTTCTGTATATTTTAATGTCGTCGGCGTACAAGAAAAGTGATACCTCTAAAAGAGTATAATTTTGTTTTCAGTGAAGTGAACTGTTCTGAAAAAAAAATTTTTTCTCAAAATTCAGAAAGATATTTTAACCACAGAGCCGATATGTAGAGTAATTCCTTTGATTTCGAAGTAAACTGCTCCGGTTAGGTTAAGACTGCTCTCCTGAAAGATGACAATTTTTTAGTCATGCCACTTTTCATTTGTACCGACTAATTAACTCTCCTTACTTCTTGAATCCCTAATATTCGATATGCAATAATTGTCAATTATGTTACATCACTAAATAACGTTTTTTTAATTTATTAATCAGTGCCTTAAGTGCAGAGAAAACAGGTAGCATGTCATCATCCTCTTGAAATAAGGTATTGCTAAAAATCAACTATACAATTGGAGAGACGTTTCTTTGGTAATTTTTCAAGATTACGTATCTTTTACAATTAACAGGATAATAATCTGTAACAATTTCGTCTTGGTATCTCTTTAAAACAATCGCGATAGCAAAATCAAGTAGGGATGTGTGCCCTCGATTCGCAGTTAAACGGGGCAAACTCATCTTTGTTAGTGCAAGAGAAAACAATACTGGCCAATTTTCGATGTTTGTATTGGGCTAAAAACCCTTATACACCACATAAAGGCTTTTTTCTACAATCTGACACAAAGACAACCCACATATACCGGTCGTATTTGTTGTATTTGTTTTAATGAAATATTTAAATTATAACTTCTTTCGTTTTTACAATTCGCATTCAGACAAGAAAACATGTATATAACTTGTCATTTCTTATCAAAAGCAATGAACAGAAATGAACTATGTAAACTGGAGTATAAAATGTGGCGAAGGATAAGATAAACCCCTTAGTAGTAGTAAATTCTGGAATTTGTACGTTATGCGAACGCGGCGTGCTCCCCCCCCCCCTGAATGCCCTTTCCGAAGTCGTTGACCGCTGTCCTCGGGCGCCTGACCTTCACGAAATACGCGAACAAACTAATGAGAAAAATTGGTCGAGGAATTAAGCGGCACGGCATTCCGGTCTCACGGCATCTCGATCGGTGGGAGGCCTCAAGGAAACGGCGTGCTCTTCTGGGAGTCTTTGGACTTTGGCTTTGGGTAGAAAGGCATACAATTCGTAATGAAATGCGCCTTGGTGTCATTTTTAATTAAAATATTTTTTCTTATCCAATGTATCTTTGCTTCAGTTTTAAAATATTTTAAATTAGATGATTGCGTAGACAGTCGTTGCAAATTCAAATTCAAATTCATAATTGTAGGAAATGCAATAGAAGTTTCACGAACCTTCTACCAAAAAGTGCATGCATTTAAATGCAATATTTGGAGTTGGTTTTCGGATGCAATGAATCGATTCGTCTTTTTTTTTAAGAATAAAAAAGGGGGCTTCATCTCTGAAATATCACAATATGTATCAATACTTTGTAAGCCTTTCATATTTATTGCCATTTTTGCTCAACTACAACAATCTTACAATTTTGTCCAGGAACCATTTGAAAAATAGGAATACGAAACTAGAAACTACGTATCATTTGCATTGAGATAGAATAGGAAAAATTGTTCGAAATGAAAATTTCAATTTTATTCCAATATTGCAATAATTAAATTCCAAAATTTAATTTCTTCCTTCGCGGGCAAATGGAATATTCCTCCTGAAAAGCTGAAAATTGAATATTGTTTAAAACAGAATGATAGTTCTGCCAAAGACGACATGAAACTAATACTCTAAAACGTAGTCGTATGAAAAGCTCCGAGACATCAAAGAGGATCGTTGTGTCGTTCGCAACCACTGGCAGGCTCTCGTAACGAGGCGTCACGCACAGACCTCCCTTGAGCGGGGTGGCGGCGGCAGCAGCCTTGGGATAACGCACGCCCCAACTCGCAAACAGGCGCGAAATTACAACGGCGCCCAGGGCGTTGCGCATGCCTCCGCGGAGCCCCGCGCCTCCACGACCCCCTCACTTGGGCCCCACGTACTTGGGCCCCACGTACTTGGGCCCCACGTACTTGGGCCCCACGTACTTGGGCCCCACTTCCTTGACCCCCCTCTCCCTCTTCATCCTCTTACTTTCTCGCTTAATACGTACTGACGTACTAATTAATACAATAATTGTGTGTAAATTTTACTCTCAGACCTCAAGACAATTCCCTTACTGTTAGAAAACAACAACATATTACCACTTCTAGGACACGGAATCTTGTAACAACACGACAAGGATACTACCAGCAAAAATATACCCCCCTTGAGTAAATTTGACTCTATACTAGTTGTGGAAGAGCGGACCGCCTTCCCAGGGCCGGCGTTGGGCGTGGGCAGAACGGGCGATCGCCCGGAGCCCTGCAAGCCATGGACTGATGGGGAAAAAGTAGGAAAAAGTTGAAAAAGAAATAAGAACTCGCGAAAAATGTTATCGTA